ATTTTTTTCACCAACAGTTCATGGTTTCAGGAAAGCAGGTAGAAGAATTATGATAATTTGTCCCTTTCAAGAAAGAAGAAGCAAGTATCATAATTAAGAGTGTGACTTTTCAATGGTATAGTTAACAAAGGTGTCAAGTACCTGGTGGCTGAAATGTTGATTCAAAAGAAGAGTTCTAAGATGATCTGCTTTACAGCTGGGAAATTGAATGTTTATGCCTTTTATAAATATGTAGGATCATGACACCAAATTTACACAGTGCATTTCTGTTTCTCTCCCAGAACATGTCTAGAATGTTATTTTTCAGAATCCCTATCCAAATTCCAGCAAAATCTAATAAAAGGATTTCTGTAGGGGAAGTTGTGTCTGTAACATGCTGGTTAATAACCCTTAATTGATCCTTTCCTCTCTGAATTTTTTTTTGTCATGCATGATATTCTGTAACAATGTGTTTCGCAATTTAATTATGTACTACTTTAAAAATTACTTCCTGTTTGTTTGAAAGTCTCATAATTTCATTTCATGATCCCAATTCTTATTTGGCAAATAAAGAACAAATAATTTTTGTTTCATCTTCTGTATGTAACATTAATTTATGATCGATGAGAGGATTTGAACTGCTCTAATGGAATGTCATTGTTAGAAGGGTCTCTTAAATTTTTTGTTTTGTTGAACATTACAAATGCTACATTTTTAGCTTGCATGGAAAAATTCACCTTTTAAAATTATTTTAGTAAACAATTATTTCCTATACATGGGATTTGTTAGAGAAATTTTTAGAAGTTTTGATTCTCTGTGTTTTAATATTTGAGGGTTTGTTTGTGTTCCAGTACAATCTCATAAGACAGCTCCTTATCCTTGATCTCTCCAGAGCTGTACTTGGGATTAGATGAAGAACAAATTTACTTCCTGAACATTATTATACTTTTGCAGGTGCATATTACAAAAAAATGTGGGCTTGAATCTGGGGCAGTTACACTTGAAGAATTTATGGTAATAGTAGAATTCTGAGAACGTATGACTAAAATGAAAAATCTTATTAAAATGCTTCCTTTCTTAAAGGAAAAAAGAAATCTGACTGGCTTTTGAGTTGTAACTATCCCATGTTTTTTGTCTACTACCTATGAAAACTAGGGAGAGTTCTAGACTGAACCTTTTCTGCTTGTGGTGAAATACTCTCCTGTTTTCCAATTTCTTTATTCCATGTTCTTTTTCAGACATTTTATGTGACTTCAGTGATAAATATGGTTGCCTCCATGCATAGCCTAGGGATAAAGAAAATTCAGTCAGTGAAGTCTTTGGTAAAGCACTGCATCTAAGTGCTGAATACCATTCTTGTTCTCTGGTATCCAACCATAACCACAGTGGGAGGGAAAGAAAGTCACTGTACACTTCGATACACTGCCAATAAATTCTCAAAGGTCTCTTTTAAGCTTCTGTATAATTCTTGAAGCAATCCAGTATCTCTTCTAAAATGAAATTTCAATTTACGTCTTTGCACAAGGTCTTTATGTTATTTTGATCAGATGTTTCTTTTCAAAAGGATGTTCATTGGTTTTATAAGGGCCTTTTTTTTCTGCTTCCTCTCCAGGGGGGTGATTTTCTGCTCTGTTCTAATTTGCTAACCACAAAATGGGAAAATAATCTAAATATCGCTCTTGTCAGAACTACTACAGAATTTCTATGGGATCAGAATCTAATCAATCGTTAGAAGTTCCTCAGTAAAATCCAGATCTTTTTATATATTTCCCATATCACAACCAATTTAATGTACTTTCAGTTTATAAATGCAATCTTCATTCAGTCTGAAACAGTAATATTCAATAAAATTTTCCCCTGATATGAGTCAAAGATGTCCTACATGATTTTTGTTCCATATTTTACTGTCTTTGCTTCCAATTAAATGATCTGTGAATACTGGTAATTACACTGCCTTCCTTTGCCAAATCACTGAAGTATCAGTAAAGGGTCATCATTTAAACAGCTACAAATTAATCACAAAAGCCAACCTTTAACACATCCATGCAGTGATTTGAATTCAGAATGTCCCCCTTATGCCTCTTCATTTTCCTTTTTTGAATTGTAGCTGTATTACATCACAGGACATTAAGCATGTTTCAACTCATGGGACTGAGTCAGTCATGATTTTAGAAATTGAAAGCAAATGTTATAATACTGTAAATGACAATATTTGAAGCAGCAACAGTTTCCCAATAGGCATGTCTATTTAGCAGATATCTAGGTTTTCAAATTGAAAATGTAGTAGTTCTTTCACTAACTGAAACAAAAATTCTAATTTTGACAGCAACATCAGAAGATGCAAACCAAAAGGGCAGAAAAGCCAATAAAAAAAGTAGAAATTATTCTTATTAGCTGAATTATCATGGTTAGCAGATGAAAGACAGAGATTTTTTTTTAATACAGTTCAGTGGCTTATTAGTGAAGATTCAAACTGTGTGGCTTCCCAGCAGTGCATCATAGTATATTGAGAAGGCTGTGTAATAGTGGAAGAGAAAGAGAAATGGGATAAAAAATTTGGGCAGGATAGTTTCTTTTATATAATAAACTATTGTAGTTTGGAATTAGAAGGTATTGGGGGCAGGAAGGGCACATTTCAAAGAGTTAACACCTTCATAGCACTGGTTCCATTTTTATGTGGAAAGCCAAAAGAGTAGTTTGGTAGACATACATCAGTCTAATGGGCAGAACTAGAATGTAGTGAACACCTTAAAAGAGTAAAAATCTCACTGGATAATATGGTCCAGCGAGATGTGTGTCAGGAGCCCAAATGTCTCCATAAATGTAGTGTGTCACCCCTTCATCCTTACCATGAAATAATAATGTGTTTGGATCTGCTTTCATGATCTTCACAACTTCTACATATTTCTGTAGACTAGCAAATATCTTCTGTGCTAGAGTATACTAATGGCTATCACTCTTTGAGTTTGCTCATGGAAAAAATAAATATATAAATTATAATAAAAGACATGAAAAGAACTGAAAATTGTTCAGTCCAGCTGAAGGCACAAGTTTTTAACTGGCTTGGGGTTTTGCAGTTGTGGTCTGCAGGTACCAATGACCTTTTTGATGTTCCATCTGAAAAATGGCATATCCAGTTATAAACATGATGTTGGAACAGCAATTTAATACATTATAGGAAATGTACATTATACATTATAGGAAAAAGAACCATATTCTAGATTACTGAGAAAATTCTGCCCTGACAAACTTTTCATTTTTCTCGCTTGGCCCATGGTTACTAAACTGACAAAAACTGAATGTGAAAAGTAATTATTGAAGGAATGGTTTAAATGTATAAACCAATCTGACATACAAACATGTGCTACTTCTGTTGGTTTCCATTACAAGAACAAAAAAAAGCCCAAAGAAAATCACAAAAGTGAGATAACTTTTTAAGGTTTTCTCCATGATTTTTAGCAATGTTAATGTCAACGGGTTTTCCTGAAATGCAGAGCTTTTATTATACAAGGTAAATGAGCTAGGATAACTATAATTTTCTTTTTTTTTTTTCCTTCTCTTCAATTTCCATTGATGAATATCACTGAAAGGTAAATTTTCTCTAACTCGGAATACAGGTTAATTCTTGTCAGAGTGGCATCTAAGAAAGTTGAGATTGATGTGTTTGGTCTATTAGCAGAAGTCCTCAGCTGTTTGAAGGGAATCTGCTGCTTGGAGGAGTAATCCTTGGCAAGAACACGTGATTAACAATATGTAAATCTGCTGTCTTAGAAAGACAACTTGCCTTTTGTTGGATAAAATATCTTTCTATTTTGTACTTCCTTCTGATTTGGTTATAAGGAAAATCAGTTTTACTGGTAATTGTCAGAGATTCTTAAGAAATAAGAAAGAAAGAATAAATAAATAGGAAAAATAAATGTTTGACCTTGCCTATCAGTTTTAGGATGGACTTAGAATATTTAATATCTCTTGAAAATAGAGAAACTGTGAGAAGTTTTGGCTTTATAGTTGTCCTCTAGGAGCTTGATTATAATTATTTTTGTTTCTTTCTATTTATACTCAAAAGATTGCAGTTCATAGTGTTCTTAAATATTCTTAATTTAGCTAATCTCAGTGTCCTGAGGGTTTATAAACTGTTGCTTACTATACTATGTGTTTCATTTTCAGTCACTAACTGACAAAAGTTAGGCATTTAGAAAGCCTGGGACTGTAATTCATTGTTGCAGGCATGATGTGATCCTGGACAGAAAAACAATGTACGAATCCCATCACATTTTAAACTTCAGTTTAGTTTAGCTACATGATGCAAGTAGTTGCAACAAGACTTCATTAGGTTCAATCACACAAAAAGGTGTTCTGATTTGGTTCACTGCAGTTGGCATCCAAACAGTTGGATTTTCCCCAGCCTACAGCTAGCACAGCTCTCTAGTCATGGGTCTGTGCAAAGACTAACAGTATGTCCTAGCCACGGGAAACAGCAGAGGACAGAACAAACTGTGTTAATAGAACTCCCATCAGCAGCGTTGGGAGATGGGTGGAAAGTTGACCAGCAAAGTATGATAGAAATATGTAAGACACATTTTCTGTTAGATTATTGTTTGCCAATGAATTTACCTCTGTAAAGAGAATAGCAACAATAGCACGTTTAATGACTTAGAAATCATGCTATAAATAAAGCTTGAATTCTTAGAGTATTTATCATCTCCAGTAATTTCCATTTTTAAGCACATAAATCTTGAGAGCATGTTGCAATGTGTTTTATTTCTGTTATAGTCAAACCTCAAACTGCAAGTTACAAAGGTGTCATATAAAAGCATTCTGTGTTCTCAATTGCTTTTAATTTATATTTAAGGAGTTTACTTATTTCAGGACACCAACCTCTTTCATAAAAGCTGATGTTCACATTCAGAAACATGTGGTATTTAAATCAGCATTACAAAAGTTTAAATCTTGAATGATGTAAAAGTAAGCACAGTGAATGAAACAGTCCATGTTTTCTCTCCCGTGTTCATTTCTTTTAGTGCTGGAGTCGGCAGGACTGGCTGTTTCATTGTGATAGATGCCATGTTGGAGAGAATAAAGCATGAAAAGACTGTAGATATTTATGGCCACGTAACTCTAATGAGAGCACAGAGGAATTACATGGTTCAAACTGAGGACCAATACATCTTTATCCATGATGCACTGCTGGAAGCAGTGACATGTGGAAATACCGAAGTGCCAGCCAGAAACCTGTATGCATATATCCAGAAGCTGACACAGATAGAAACAGGCGAGAATGTCACAGGAATGGAACTGGAATTCAAGGTACTGGCATTTTATGTTGTGGGTAACCAAAACTAAATGATCTAACACTGAAGCTGCTCTGTTCTCCACCACTTGTTTCCAGTAATCAGAAGATAAAAGACACCCTTAGACTAAAATTTTAAATTAAATATCTGGATAAGAACCATTCAGTTGACGTTGATTTAACCATGCTGTTCCTTTATTGTTACTGTATCTTGAAATATGTGTTTGTGTAGTGATTTAATCCTGGAAATTTGTCCAAATGCACTCACTAATGGAGCAGACATTGTACTTTGAAAAGGTGTTAAAGAAGCTTTACAAATATTTGGGTAATGCAATAGAATATGGAAAAGTAAGCATCTGAAGTTGAAATTATTCATTAGTGGCTACTGAGCAGAAAGTATAAAACCTCATAGTGTCACTTGTCTTTGTTATACCTCGCCTTAATTCTTTTAACTTGTTTTCAACAGCGTCTTGCTAGCTCTAAGGCTCACACTTCAAGATTCATCAGTGCCAATCTTCCATGTAATAAATTCAAAAATCGCCTTGTCAATATTATGCCATATGAATCCACAAGGGTATGCTTGCAGCCTATCCGAGGAGTAGAAGGCTCTGATTATATTAATGCCAGTTTCATTGATGGATACAGGTACAAATCATGTTGTGTTCTTATCTTTACTGTTTTAAGAGTTTACAGAATTGTTTATGTAATTATTTTGAAAAAACCAGAACAGAATAGAAATCCAGTAATTTTTTTGTCTGTTCAGGGCTTATTTGATTGGATGTTTTTTTAAAAATTTATTAAAGGGTTTATATTTTTTCCCCATGTAATATAGAAAAATTTTGTAAATTACATAGAATCTTAAATGTTATATTTTAACCTGTGTTTAAGCCACTAAGAGCTCTCAGTATGCTTTACATGCTGAAAGTTAATGAGACTTCAAGCATGCTCATGATTTGGACCCCTATATCTTCACAGTTTTTCTGCTTAAAAGGATATCTAGAAATAAGATACAGGAGATACACTCTGTGTGTTAAGGTGATAACCCACACTTGGGACACTGCCTAGGACCTGATCTAACCAATGAAGGCCTTTTGTATATAAACAGATGTGCAGCCCACTGGCCTCTTCATGACAACATGGAGCAGTATGACCTCAGCTGACTTAAAGCAGCTGGTTGAAAAAGACATGAAAGGGAAATGGCATTATTTGCCTGTGTTTGCCATAGTTTAGGTGTGCCTGAGTATCCGTATCCACAGAGTGAATTTTCTGAGCCTCAGCTCATAATTGAAAATAAACTCCATCTCCACTATCACCCACAAAGGTATTGCTGTTGCTTGGAAGAAGCAAGAGCAACACAAACTGGTCATCATCTTATAAAGCTGTTGATGCAATCTTTTAACATTTTGGTGGTAGCTTTCCCCAGTTGGATATTAGGGCCTGGAAATTCACACTCCATTCCCAAATTTTCTTCCTGCCTTACTTTTGCTGGAGGCATCAGACTGTTGAAATGAAGTTAATAAAGAAACTGCTTGATGCTATAATTCCTAAACTTAATAGATTGTTAGACAGTTATTTCTATAAAATGAACCAGCACAACTAAGTGTTTCTTAAGTGCTTTTTACAGCACACAAAATTGAGCAATTAGAGTTGCATTAAAATTTAAATAATAATGATAAAGTCATACATCATAATATTAACAGAGTAATTTTCCTCTCAAAGTTCTAAAAATAAAAAGCCATAGTTTGATTAAACACTCATAATAAGGTTTTAGTGTGCTCATTATTAACAGTATATACATTTTCCCTCCAGATAATGTTTTCATATAAGCAAAGAACATGAGTATAGATCCAAAATAATACTGTAAATAATACTGTTAATCTACTTTTGTTTGTTTGTTTGTTTTTGTTAACATAGACAACAAAAAGCTTACATAGCTACACAGGGTCCTTTAGCAGAAACAACTGAAGACTTCTGGAGAATGCTCTGGGAGCATAACTCTACAATTGTGGTCATGCTCACTAAGCTACGAGAAATGGGCAGAGTAAGTACTGCTCTAATATTCCTTTACTAAAATGTTGGCTACAGCAGCTCTTTTCATTAAAATATTTAATTCTTAGGGATATCTAAAGATGAGAATTCTTTTGAAACAGGAGTGGCCTTCCTGGTCATAGATGTAAATTTTTCAAATCTGTTGATGTGTTGCAATGGACAAACTAGACATGGTGTGTTCGTGTGGGACACATTGAGATTGAACAAGAGAGACCATTGCTGTCTATTGAAAAAGAAAGATCTCTCTTTTGGAAACTTCACTTTTGCAGCATCTCATTGTAAAAATGTTAAAAGAAAGTGTGATATTTTTTAGATTGGAATATCTTCTGTGTGTTCTGTGCTGCACATGAAAGTTTCATCCCCCAATTTGCAGTTCTAAACTCATTTCATTGGTACTCTGCCTGCTGGAAGGAACGAAGTAGTCTGCTGTCTGGACAGGATTACATCAAGAGAAAGCTGGCATCTGATAAGTGAAATCTGAGTTAGACCATGTGTCTGAGAGAAAAGAGATTATTCAGGACATGGCTAGTGGATGAGTAGTGACTGAGGATAGAGCAGTGACTGAGACTGGGGGGACTTGCTCCAACAAGCAAAAAGGAAGAAAACTGAAGGTGGTATCAAGATTTAAATTGGGATAAAAATTCACCATTGAAAATAAGATTAAGAATAGCTCTTGTCACTGATAGATAATAAAACTGAGCAGAAGTATAAGCAAGTTCAGATATACAGCAATCAATGAGAAACCCTTTGCAATGCAGTGTTAAAGATAACTTTTTACTCTACACCAACACAAGCAGTTCATGTTCCTGTCACTATTGACACGTTCCATGAATATTATACTTAGCTGAGTAAAAAAGGGTTTATACCAGTTTATGGTAGCGCTCTCAGATAATAGGAAATGTATTTTACTTTGTTATTTCATAGGAAAAATGCCACCAGTACTGGCCTGCGGAGCGCTCAGCCAGATACCAGTATTTTGTGGTAGATCCAATGGCAGAGTACAACATGCCACAGTATATTCTGAGGGAATTCAAGGTTACAGATGCAAGGGTAAGTCAACATAACATTACATTTCTTCCCATAAGTTTAAAAGAAAGTGTTTATTTCTTTCTTTTTTCTGTGTTTGGGGGTTTTAGGATTTTTACTATTATTAAGAAAACCCAGAGATATACTTTCTACAAGCAATAATAAAAAATCAGATGAAGTTATTTTTAAATAAATGGGATCTTTCTGTAGGAATGATTGACTTCATTCAGATCTAGCATCTGGGTAACACAGTTTTATAGTTCTGAACTATTTGTGCCAAAATACATTAGATTATTTGAGAACTATTTTCCTCTTTTTCCTCATTTTCCCCTTGATCATTATTGGCTATAATTTTTGCAACATAGAGTGTTTTTTTTTGTTTTGCACTGCCCTTGAGGCTGAGTGAGTATGAAGGTTAATATACTGAGATTTTAAAACTGCAAAGCAAATGACATTCATAAGAAAAGCTGGACAAGCTTTGCACATTATAATTTGATTTTTCATGTAGTATATTTTCAGCTCTCTAGTATATCTGCAGACTAGACACATGCAGCTGTGACCTTAGCATCCTCATTTTCATACTTCATTTCTTATCTGAACTCCTGAGTCCAAAACTGAATACTCATATAAGATTAAACATACATAAACTTTTAATGTATATTTGGCGTTTCTCTGACTTGATTTCTAACATTTCAGTCTCTGTGGTAGGAAAACATACTGTCAGCCTCTGTTTCTGTAGGCACTGTGGAATAATACTTGTTCAAGCACAACAGCAGGATGTAATGTCTAGGAATATCATGAGTGTCTACTCAGAGTTGCCTGTCAGGTTCTGAAATATTAGACTTCCTCATGGTTAACTAGACCACTGCTTTTAATGTGAGCATCAAGTAAAATTGGGTAGTATTGTTATTATTGTATCAAGTGAGCATATGAACCTTTTTTTTGGCAAATGAGATTCGGGTGTAGATTTTTGTAAAGGAACTGTAGATGCATTGGATCTGATTTTCATTCCGTTTGAAATGTGAATCATACGACTCACATCTTCTCTAGCCTATTTGTGCTTAAGAAAAGTGGAGAACAGGCTCCTAGCATCAGTCTTTAAACATGCTTGCAAGCAGAGATAGTCAAATCCAATTTCACTGCAAATATCCTGATAGTTTTAATTGATTTTCTATTAAAAGTCTGTCTCAAGTTGGAAGAATTATTGTGTGACATAGTTCACAAAGCTCTGATCACAAAATTACAGTTATAACAAAAAGCCATAGCTGTAATCAAAGTGTCCCCAAATATTTTATATTTTAAAAAAAGTTCCCTCAAGACTTTGCATTGAAGTAGAATATTTAGGCAAGTCTGCTTACCTACAGCTATCAAACCATTAAAGGGCCAAATAATTAAATAATTAAATTTATCAGAACTAATTTTATTTGGCATGATATTAATAAACCTCTTTTAGAAAGCATTAAGCACATTGAAGGTCCTGGTATAACATTTTACTGTCACATGTTATTGCTTCTCAAATTTTAAGAACCTCCTTATCTTGATGGTCCAAATTTTGTTCAGTGAGCTGACAGCACCATCCTGAATTTTCTAGTTATGCTGGAAAACTATATCGCCTTCCAAAATTACTGGAAGTCGGAAATTCGTACCAAAATGTACATTATAGTTTTTCTCTAGTTAGGCTTTTGTGGCTGTCACGCCCAGTAATTGAAATCATTTGACTAAATTGTTGCACTCAAAGAAGAGTAAATGTTGGAGTGATTGCAAACATCCTCTGTCCCTCTCATCTCCAAGTCCATCTGTGCTGTTATAACACCATCCATGCTCTGGCAGAGCCAAGATGACCAGTTATTCCACAAGGACATAAAACAAGGCACTGTACCTGTGTAGATGCCACCAGCAAGTGTCTGCAGTGGAACTCTCTTTTATTTCTGAAACTGAGCTGTGAGTTGCTGTGTGGTGAAGTTGACCTCAGTAACTGTTTCCAGGTATTGCTTCAAACGGCTTTGTACTCACTTTCTCTGGAAACTCAAGAGGTCAATATGTTGGGCCAGTCTTATTTAAGGCTAAACTATTAGTGATGCCTGTAAGAGAGTAATATCAATTCTAAAGCATAATCAAAAGACAATTGAATATCCCCTGTGAGGAGGAAGAATAAATCCAAACGGTCAGCCACTAAACAGGATAAAACATTAAAAGCCCACTGTGCCACACAGGGATTTTAAAGTACTTATTTTGATAACCAACTGTGCAAACTGTCACAGTATTTAAAAGTAAAGATTTTAATAAAATTTGGCATTTGTATCTGGACTGCTGTTGGCAAGAATCTCATTAAAAGAAATCAACACTCTTTGTAATGTCAGTAACAGAGGGAGCTGTAAAAATTGCAGATCAGTTCCCCATATGCTTTAATGCTAGTCTAACATAGACTAAGTAACTTTACTTCTCTGCTCATTAAATAATATTAAATAACAGAGGTTATTGTCATTTCACAGACTTGCATTGGAATACTGAGTTACTTAAATCATGAAACATACTAATGCAGTTGATATATACACACCAAAAAAGACATACTTACCATTAGATCTATTTATGACAGAGAAATGTGTTAACTTTCCAGTGACAGACTGGACTTAAATAAATTAGTGTCTTCCTTACTTTTTCTACCTGGAAAAAGTAAGTTGGATTTCAGGTTTTCCTTCTTTGCTTTGAAAGAATAGAAGGTTATTTTGAAGGGAATCAACCTGTACTTGTGTCTTCTTGATAAATTTATATCATCTGCCTAAGGCTATCTGGAGGATGCAATTTCATTATGTCTTTTTTGGAGAAAATGGGATTACGGAAGCCATTATTAGAGATGTTTGTATTCACAAAATGCCATTTTTGGAACTAAACATTTAGTTCTTTGTGTTGATGCCCACAATAAATCCAATTGGGTGAATATTTTCAAACATTACCTATTTGTCTAAGTGGAAAAAAGTGTTTCACAGATACAGGCCACTAAATTGTCAGTGTGACCTAGTGGAAATACACACTGTGGGAGTCCTCTCATGGAGTAGTTGCTGGCACACACACATTTTTTCTGTTTTCCTCGCTCATCTGAGACACAGGAAGCAAAATCCCACAGAGCCAGAGGAAATATAAAAGCAAATTATTGGGGTTTCCTTTGGTTATATTTAAAATCACTTCTATATAATTTCAAATGTCTGTAGCAGTTGAATGCTTGTGGTCTAAGGAAAAAGTGAGAAAGATTATTCCTGCCTCCAGCATAACTTGCTGCTTTTTGATGGGAATCTCCAGTAATAATGTCAATTTTTCATGAGTTTTACTTAGAAGAAAGTTCAATTTTTCAAGAGTTTCACTTAATAGAAGACCATTTTGAAGACATGACAGGGTAGGTGCTTAGAAAACATGATGTCTAGAGGCACCAGTTAACATCACTGGCTCATATTGCCATGATTTTAAACATTACAGACGTGCAGATTGACAGTGTCAAAATCATCAATGTTTGAAAATGCAGAACAAATTTGCTTTATTCATTTGTATTGCATTTTTATGTGTCCTGACTTTTTGCTCATTAAATAGGCAGATAGCACAAGTTGGCATTTAGTAATTCCAGTGGCTTCATTATAAAAATAACCATGATGCTGTATTCGGCACTTTAAAGAAAAACTGTTAGTATTCCTAACCATGGGGATTGAAGAGCTTCAGATGGCTTGTTTTAAGAAAGGAAGCCCTTCCTTTCAATTTTAACTAACTCCAAGCTGTTGGTGAATTAAATGAACTATTAATGAAGAGAAATTTGTTAAACAACCAGCTTGTTTATCCATCTTCTTGCAGGAAAAATGTTCACCTCATAGAAAGCAGCTTACTGTTAAAGATAACATCTGCAAGGAGGGCAATGACTTAAACAAGTCTTATCAGTAAAGATATTCCTGCTGAGAAGTAGTTGAGCATATCTCAGAAATGAAAAGCCAGATTAGATGACCTTATTCTACCTGATATAAAGGAATTTGTAGTCCACAGGATTCAAAACATAATATACCAAAAAAGTCATATACTCCTCATGGGGTTGTTATAGCTTTGACCTCAGGCACAATTTTTACACCATCAGAATGCCAGGCAACTCTCCTATGCAGTGTGGAAGAGAATCCATGCAATATGGTTAATGAAACTCATAATAATACTTTTGGGCTGATACAAAAGCTTTAATAGTAGTACTGCAGTTGAAAGAGTTTCCATAAATGTAATCTTAGCCATTCCCCATCTCCTCTCAACATCCTTACTTTGTGATTGTCTTTATGATTATTCGCTGACCAACTTCAAGCCACAGCAACGTGCTTTATTTGTGTCTAACTTTTGTTAAAGGATGGCCAGTCCCGAACAGTGAGGCAGTTCCAGTTCACTGACTGGCCAGAACAAGGAGTGCCAAAGTCTGGAGAAGGATTTATTGACTTCATTGGCCAAGTGCATAAAACAAAAGAGCAATTTGGTCAGGATGGACCAATTTCTGTTCATTGCAGGTAAGTAAATAAAGCTTAAAAACAAATTATATGCAGATTTGTTTTTTTCGTAAAGTTGATTGCTGATTGTGGTGAACGTGTATATTTAAACAACATTTCAGAGATGAAGTGTCATATCATGTAATCAAATAGAGGATCTAAAATGGAACAGCATGAACTGCTGTATGAAATGGGAACTGTTCTGTGATAATCCATTTATACAAAAATGGTTCTTCAGAAATATGTGGAAACACGTGATTTTTTCACATATAAATGCTTCTAATTCAGCATAAAAGCAGTCTGTGCTGCCCGCAGAAGGCATAGGAAGAGCCTTATCACAAGCTGCTACATCTGATATTTTTTCCGCTAGAAATTAAAGGCTTTTACTTCAGTAGGAATTATTATCTGCAACCAAGCTAGTTACACCTCAGTGGCACATTAGTAGCAATCAAGATGAGGAAAAAAAAAAAAAAAGGTAGCTATCTCAAGAAAGGGAATGGAATAGAAAGTAATGTTTAGAAATTTTGCCTGTCAAAGAAATCATTGAGGTTTGAGTTTATGAGTTCTAGCTTCAGAACTTTGTGCTCATTTTTGATGTGATGACTTCCCTTCTTTGCAATTGATATGCAGATGAAAATTACTTGCATGGTGTTTAGAAATAATCCAGCATGGGTTTTTTAATATTCTTGTATTTTTTATTTATTTCCACTACAGTATTCTAGAGCCTATAGCAGATGGCCAAAAATGATATCTTTATCTCTTATCTCCTATTTAATAAATTGTTTTCTATAAATTCCATTAGGATTTTAGATACTCATTTTTGTAATATGAAATTCTTTTTTGTAGATTAAATATTATTATTTATATAACAGAGATGCAAAATACTGACACAAGTTGCAAGTTCTTACTGCAAGCCAAATAGTGTCCCAATACTATCATGAAGACAAATGAGTTTACTAGAGCCTAGTAAACAGAGGAAGAGAAATTTTCCTCTTTCCAAAGTCATCGGTAAACAGAATTTGAGTTCTTTATGATCCTCTAATCTGAAAGACAGACAAAATAAATGTATTGGAATACTCGAATCCTACTTTTCTTGTGTGCCTAAAAATTTTTACAGGCTGCTGAGGAGAGTAGCATACAGGGCACTGATTGGGATTCATTGCACAAGGGGGATGAAGAACAAACCAGATAAGAATAAACCTCATTCTTCAACATTAATGAGTTTTGAGAGGACAGGAGTAATAAGCAATATTTATGCCTTTATGCAGATAAGAAAGCCGAGCAGTATTTTTATTCTAGATTCTTTGTGCCATGCAGACTTGTCCACTTGTGAATACTGTGAATACTGCTTCCATTACATTACATATCCCTCCCAAATGGATGTGATCTTTCATGGTAAAATTATGGACTTCTGCCATTGACATTGCTAGAAAGAAAGTCAAATGCAGTGTAACTAATCATGGCTTGGTTTTTAAATGTCTTTATCATTATTGTAATGACTATTTAGGGACTGGTAATGCTAATTATCATTGCCAGTGTTAGCCAACTTACATGAATAGGAAGTGTCCCTAGCAAATTAGTAAGTTTGTTTATTTCTTTCAGGAAACACAAGATCCTGGATACCTGTGCTTTCCTAGTCTCTGAGGAATTACTGAAATAATGCCTTCAGTTTGTACCATGATGAGTTCTACAGTGAATTAAAACACCCCTAGTGTCACTTCCTTTGGGTCTCCTTTACACTCTATATAATTTTCACAAGCTTGCTTTCTCTGTTATGCAGTAAACCCCCCCAACCCACAAATCTAAATTTTCTTTTTCCGTAACATTTTTACAAATAGGTCAGTGTGTTGAATTAAAAAATTTCTAACCTCATGAGGCAGATACTTAAAACTATTTTAGAAAGCAATGGGCTATTCATCTTGAAGTAAAATTTTCACTTAAACCAATATTAGATATTTATAGTCTTTTTATTCCAGCTTTTAGCTCAAGACTGAGGAAGACCTTTCCCAGAATGCAGTCAAGATGTATTTTTAATAATAAACTCTTCTCTCTTGCCAAAAATCAATACATCCACATAGTTCATTAAAGCATCTCAACTTTAGCTTCTAGTCTAAAATATGAATCATGGGGAGTTATAATGCATCATGAAGGATTTCTTTACTCTAGAAAACCTTAGCATTTTTGGATAGGAATTGTTCCAATGTTAAAGTATGTTTGCTACTCTAAAGGGAACAGGATCAATTTCCCACAGGCTTTTCTCAAGACATTACACTTGATGACCAATTAGGATTTGCAAGCATTGACATGTTTCCATATTCGTTTCTCTTCCTCATTAAGTCTCTCCTGGAGACATTTGCTGATTTTTTAAGTACCCAAGACAAGAAAAGGAATTTCTTCCTTTTGCCTGAGATTTCCAAGTAATTTTTTTAAAGTAACAAAGATTTGTCTACTGTGAGGCCAGAATGCTCTCACACATGTAAATATTTTTCTTTTTAATTAAATAGCAGAGCAGGACAATGTAAAATGGTAGTCTGTGTTCATTCTCCTGGTCATTTCCTGGGCTACTTAGTTTAGATCACACTGTAATCAGGTCTGCCAAGTTCAAGCTGGTTCCAACGAGCCAGTTCCAGGATTTTTCAGGATGTTTCTAACGTACTAGCTGTCTAATTTACCTCATCAGGCACCTTGCACTGCAATTGCTTTAGATGTCCAGGACTGTTATTATATCACATAGGTAAATCACCACTGACAACGTGATATTGTGTCAAGTGGTGTGTCAGTTGTCCTTTGGCTTCAGCAACCTGAAGGCACACATCCTATGCAAAATTTATAAATGCAATTGCATATGTCTAATAGCCCTAAAAGAGCTCTGACCTAGACCAAACACCAAGATACCATCATACAATTTGAACATTCAATTTCCACACTACTTTTTGAATTTGCTGGATTTCTGTCATAGTTCATACAAGAACTCATTCAAGAGTTCTTCACGATTTTCCTGTTGTTCATGCTGTTCCATTCATCTGTCTGGTGAACAGGTCTCATAAATATTCAGCTTTCCAGGGTTATCTGGCTGCAGGAAACCTTGTGAAATTATTAGCATCAACAGTGAGATGACAAGGTGTTTGGTTTCCATTCATAGAAGTTCAAACTTACAAAGTCTTTTTCTCTGTGTAGTTACCTGTCTCTTTTGCAAAGAATAATCATCTTGAATAAGTGATTGTTTAATTTTAAAAGCTGACAGCTATTGGCTCTATTGATGGCAAGAATTTCCATCACTTCTTGCGGGTTAAAGCGAATAGCAGAAACCCAGGGCAGAACAGAGAGCAAACAAGACACATATATATTCAAAGAATACTTTTAAGACCAATGTAGACAAACACGGTAAATGTATATCAGCACTGGAAAGCAAAGATCCAGACTGCCAGACTTGAATAAGACCTGAACTGAGATCTTTCTCTGTCCATTATTTGAATCAGACCATGTATGAACAAGTTCAATATTAAACGAACATCTGTACTTCAAACTTAAAGTAGAAGGTAAAATAACACAGAGAAGATGTGCAAAACAGGGCATATACATGAGAAACTAAAGTAAAGCAAGCAGTAAAATGCATTTTGGCTTCATTTTCTCTTGTCAGTTCCAATGTATGTTATTGGCAACAAATGTTAACATTTGCCTTCACCATGCAGTGATTATTGTATATCTGGATGAACAAATCAAGTCTTTGCAAGGAAGACTGGAGAGTCTGGATGTAATCAGTAGATGTGAGGTTCACTTGAGTGCAGTCATTCTTTTGAATGCAATGTGGTAATTTGCTATGGAATTTTGCTTAGTGAGCCGTTCCCCATATAGAAATTTATACACATATGGTGTGTTGTAACCACAAAGAATTTGTCAGCCAATTCTTTCAGCATTAACTATCAATTAACATTTGTTTTTTCCTTTTATTTTGTCTTCATTTTCTTCAACAGTGCGGGCGTTGGAAGGACTGGAGTATTCATAACCCTGAGCATTGTGCTAGAAAGAATGAGATATGAAGGTGTTGTAGACATCTTCCAGACTGTCAAAATGTTAAGGACACAGCGGCCAGCCATGGTACAGACAGAGGTGAGCATGAGTATCCTTATGCAATGGTGATGGAAAAGAAATAGTATTTACACAAGCAAAAATATGCACAGATAGATACTGTATAAGACATGCTTACAGTAATATCTGAAGACATATATTGGCCCTGTGACTACCACGTAAAATAGGACTATTTCCTGTTATCACAGTAGTTACTGCAAGATGAGGAAGAAAAAAAATAGTTTCAATAGTGGATCCTAAATTATGGTAGTTAAGAAATACCCATTTGTGAAGCATGACACATTTTTATTTGATCCATGCTCCCTGGCAGAAATGTGTGGTAGTAAAGAAGCAGGCAAATTGTTTCTGCAGGTGGATCAACTGATTTTTTTTTTTTTTTTCCCTGGGAGCAAGGTCTTGATTATGTCTTCAGACTGACACTGTATTATTTTCATGTTTTTTTGTGTCACCAAGCAAGTGGCTCCTTGGCCTGAAAATCATAATGGTAAATTCAGCATTCAGGATAACTATAGTGTAAATAATTTCTGTGCTATTAAGTGTGGCATAGAGAAATAAAGAAAGTGATAAGCAGTTTAGACCAGTTACCTGTGCCTGTATGCTTGGAAATCTGCCACATCATAAAGAATGCTTAAACATTATCAGTTAATGCCCTTAATTTTTGCCTTAATTTCTGAGCAGAAGACCTGGACTAAGCCAGAGTCAATAGGTTAGGGGGACCAACAAAAAGGAAAAGAGAAGGGAAACATTTTAGATCACACATTTATTTAGTATAATTTGATTGACACAGGCCTTTAAATTAAGTCTGTGAAATTTAAGATGGCTCCCCAGAGTTTGCCATTTTCCACAAGAAAAGTAGAAGCTGGATAGTTTTACTTCTAAGAAGACAACTTCATAAAGCTTATATGAAAAATACAGATACTTATTTTTAATCTTGTCAGTTAGCCAAGTAAATCACTGTGACCATACTGAAGAGTTAATTCCATTTCTTTCCCATTACCATCATTCTTCTGGATAAGCAAAATGAAAAATGACTGCTTTCTGTCATTTTGGCTGCAAGAAATAGCTAAAGTACACAGAAACTATGCTTCTTTGAGCCTACCTGACAAATGCAGAGTTCAATTCTGCAATATATGCTCTTTCCTCCTGCTTTGACTTATTTCTGTATGCTGCCCTTCATCCCCGCTGCTGAAAGCAGAGGTGTTCTGTAGGCATGTCTTCCAGGATTCTGTGGCAAACAAATCTCTCATTCAGTTATAAACTGCCAGGAAATCTAATCCTTATTAAACAAAGCACTTCCATGTGGACCATACGCACACTTAAAATTTAAGCATGTGTGTAATGCATTCTGCCACTGTTCTAACTATTCCAACTAACAGAAATGAACTATGAGTAATCATACTACCTCAGTGAAGCAAATATCTGATTAGTTCTCTGGCCTCCGAAAGGATTTTAATTGTGATCTTAACTGCAACCTGTGCAGTTACCACACAGCACTGTGTGGTATTTTATCAGAAAAATAAATAGACATCCCTGGTATTTTTGAGAAATTTCTTTTATTTTTGTTTTTTAAATTTTTTTTTTTTACTTTTTACCATTTAAACCAAGAATGGCAGTTGGAAATAAATACGTAGATGTGCCATTTTAGTGTAAGTGTGCAACAACATAAATGTGCAAAAGGACTGCTTTATGGAGGTGAGAATAACACAAACTTACAAATGTTAGATTCATCTGAGGTATGAGAAAATTTCTCAGCACACTAAACTTCTCTGTCTCCAGGTATAGGTTGAAATGAAGTCTGATTTAGGTGAATGAGGTCCTTTAGCTCTATATTTCTCCTTAAGTCTTTTTCTTGCCAAGGTATCTTCACATCTTCATCAAAGCCTATCTTACTGAAAGGCTGGAATTCCCTTTGCTTTCTTTGCATGATTTTTAAAGTGATGGTTTTCCATACAGAATTCCATATTCAGGCTGTGATGGACCCTTTTACTTAGTGTGTTGTATTAGCTGTAGAATTCATTGTTTATTTTGGTACTTATTTTCAAATATGAGCATGGAAAGCATCCTAGCATGTTCCTATCAGAAGAAAGCTTAATGCTGATATTGTTTTAATCCAGAATAACAGACTGTCAGTAGGTGGGTATATAGTCTCTGCACAAAAAGAAGCTCCATTCTGTGGAAAATGTTGTTGCATTAAATGACTGTCTATCTTCATCTGTTGTAACTCAGAGTGGTTTTCTGTTGGTGTCAGCAAGTGAATATTGCTGAACTGCAGATGCCTCTGCAGTCTATTTGTTTGCAGCTACAAAATATTCACTATTACTTGAAAGAAACTAGAAACCAACCAACAAGCTGATTTTTTGATGCATTTTTTTTCTGTTTTTCTTTCTCTAGGATCAATACCAGTTCTGCTATCGAGCCGCACTGGAGTATCTGGGCAGCTTTGATCACTATGCAACATAAAAACCCATTGTGGATTTTTATTGCAGGCCCTTTAAGATCCAGAGAGCCGCTTCTGAGCCATACAATGTGCTTTAGAAGTACTTCTTAACTCTTAGCTAAGGAGCAATTATTGGGGATATATAAAATAAAAAATAATAAAAAAAGAAACAAATGAACAAAATATTGGGGATATATAAAACAAAAAAAACAACAAAAAAAAACCCCCACCCAACAAGAAGTATTCCATGTGGACCAAGAATTCACAGTTTAATAACCTAACCATAATAAAAGAATCCTGACCAATGAGGCGTCTGAAGGATCTCATTAACAGATACCTCAAGGGTTTGACATTGGTTGAAGTTAAAGGGAAGAGGAAACTTAATCAGAAAGAGTGATCATCTTATTCAGGATTACATGATTTTGAAAAGAGGAGTTTTGAGAACTGCAGTTCAGTGCAAGATGTTTGTTGCAAGGTTGGGTTCTGGCTTCCCAAACAAAGCGGACTCCTTACTTCAACATCACCGTTTCCCATCATACTGCTCATCATAACACTTAAGGGAAAATGTGGGAATGTTTAAAAAGAAAGTCCTTGATTTAGTTTTTTAGTATTGTAAAGATACTGCTGACCTGTGCTTCATTTTTAACTGTGTAAACTTTTTTCCTTTTTTTAACAAGAGTTTATCATTCGATGAAGTGAATTAAAGAAAAAGTTGCATAACTGTTAATATTTTTGTTTAAAAATGTAGATTTTTTTTAAGCTGTAGAACTGTTATCTGTAATATTGTGCTGTAGAAATGTTAGATACTTTGAAAATTTGCACATTTTTGTGCAGTCCTACAGTACCACAGTCTTGTTAGATATGAATTTTGTAGTTTTATTTGGTTTTTTTTTTCTTTAAGAAAATATTCATTGTAATCAGTTAAATCAAAATGGGGGTTTTGGTTTATTTTGGAATCAACAGGGAGGCGCAAAGTATAAAGATGCTGCTAGCACATACACACACACGCACACATATGCACATGCACACTCACACCCTCTCTCTTTTATATATATATATATGTATTACTGTCTACCCTTTTTTGACTCTCTGTATAGTTGCAGAGAATACAGATGGATTCAGATACAGATTCACACACATGCACATAAACATATCAGTCCTTACATACCTGGATTTATGAAAGCATTGGGAAAGTTTTTCCACATACTACAATTGTACCAGACTGCAATTTGATCATCTCTGCATTTTTAAGGTCCATAAACTTCTGTTTCAAAGAGAAGTGAGGAATGCACATCATTGATATTTGAATGCCATCTCTATCCCAAATAATATTTCTATCCACATTTCCACCTGAACACACACACATGCACACATACAGAGCACACACATGCACACACGCACACAGAGTATGTGATTTAGGCTTCAAGTGAAGTTCAATATTTGTAACACTATAGTGCAATAAGAAATCATATTATTAAATGTAGGAGGTGTGCATGTGGGAAAGGTCAGTGCATATCCCTTTAGGAGGGGAGAATGTTGTAATATACTAGGTATTAAGATGTTTTAAAATTGTATTCAATAGTATACTGTCTATAGTGTGCGCTATATAATTTACATTTATCGTATGTAACAGGGCAAAGCCAAACACACATTGCTCTGTGAAATCAAACGTTTTGTGGCATACAGCATTGTTTGGGGATGCTGGGGTTTATTTTAATTTTACATTTAGAGTGCCTTATATTTGATGCCTATTTTGAATAGTATTTCTTTAAGTTAGCCTTCATTTGTATTTAGTTTAGTTTGTTTATATCTCTGTTGTTCTTTTCAGACATTTTAATACATGTACCAGACAATTTCGAAAAATATGCATTTCCAGTTTCCAATCAAGTATGGATGGTAATAAATGATAACCCAAAACATATAGGTAGTCAAGGCCCTTTATCTTTCCATATTTCTAATAACAGAATAGCCCACAAATTGGAAATCTATTTCTGGTTGGCTTTTCAAACCCACTTTGTCACTGGTTATAGTGTTATCTGTCATTGCCGAGCTGTAGCAGCACAGTAGCAGTAGTTGACAGCAGCAGTTCTTATGCATCTTCCTTTTTTCTTTTATTTTCTTTTTTTTTTTCAGATTTATTTTGGGACAAGTCCTGCTCATTCACTTGTGTCAACAGATTGCTAAAGTCAAACCCTTGCTTTCAGTGGGAAGGTTCATGTAAGGCCAGCAAGACTGAGCCCACATGACATATTGGAGATTGACAGATTTTATTCCAGGAAAAAGGAAAATTTTCTAAACAGCACAAAGTACTTTTTGAGACTCTTTCTAGAATGCCGTTTACATTGACCTTGGTCAGCGTGTGTTCTGCCATTGTTAGTACATCAGCATCAAAGGATGCTTTCTTTGGGGTTTCAAATAGGAGCATTGCTGTAGCTTCTCCATGTGGCCTCAACATTTTTAGTTCTTCTTCCAATTTTCCCACTCCTATGAGAAGTAAAAATAAGAAAGACCAAACTCCAGCAATTGTATTTGAGCACTTTTGTAATGAAAAAAAAACCCAAACCAAAAAAATCAAAACAGAAGTATAAATATATATATATATGGAATAGAAGTATTATAGAAGGCTACCTCAGAATGAGATTCTATAACTTACATCTGAACCAGAGAAGAATGTGCACTATGTTTCTTTCTCTTCTTCCTTCTTGATTTATACTTTGAAATAATTATTAAAATACCAGGTTATGTAGTGTGGTCATGTTCTTGAACTCAAACATAGGAATTCAGAAATACAAAACAAAGTGTCATTTTGAAAACATAGACTAAAGAAGGTTCCTGCACACTGGATCTGTACAAAGATCAGTGCATTTTCCCTAGCAGACTGTCTTGCAAGCTCCAACAAAAATAAGGGAGTAAAAGAAATACAAAAAAAGGCAGAGCCAATTTGTGAGAAAAACTGTTGAACAACTAAATACTCCTTTCAGGTTTTTTGTTTCTTATGATAGCTCTTAGCATCATTGATGTGCATTCCACTTTCTGTATTCCAATATATGTATTCTACAGTTAATTTAAATTGTGAGCATCTTTGTCTACATACATCATACATTTCCAAGCTTAAAATTGGTTTCATCAGCATAACCAGTACGGTGCTATTATTTACGTTTGTATGTGTAGTTATGTCTAATTCTGTAATTAGTTACAATGGGGGAAAAAACCCACAAAATATATAAAAATTATTTATACAAAGGTTTAATTTAGCTCTTTTTTAAAAATTTATTTGAGTGGTTAGATAGCAGAGAAGATGGCTGGGGGAAGGAGTGACCTTCTAAGGAGATTTGCACTTTCTATATATACCTTTGTACTATGCACTGCCCTATTGATTCTACACCCAATAATAACTTGAACCCATCTGTAAGAAATTGCTTACAAAACCCACTTGTATGTATTTAAAAGACACAGAACATGTAAAAGGAAAAAAAAAGCAACTGCTTTTTTTGCTTCCTTTTATTCTCTCCCATTTTTCTTTTTTTTTTTTATTTCTTTTTTTTATTATTATTTTCTTTTTTTTTTTCCCCTTGGTGCCCTGATACTCCACAGATATCAGAAGGCTGCAGGTTTTTTTTTTTTTTTATTTCTTTTTTTTATTATTATTTTCTTTTTTTTTTTCCCCTTGGTGCCCTGATACTCCACAGATATCAGAAGGCTGCAGGTCTCATTATAACCATCCATTATGTGGCTTTGCCATTCAAGCTTGGAGTGTCTTTACAAAGATAATAAAAACTTGTGTTCTTTGCTCTTGTTTTGGATGCATAGACTGAAAAACTTTAAAAAATTACCTTGTAAAATGGCTTGTTAAAAAAGATACAATTACCTCTAATTAGTAGTACGCGTAAATGTTTTACAGAATGAAAGGCGTGCTTTTTATTTTCTTACTTCGTTACATTGGTGGCAAAAGGAAGTCTGTATGAAAATCAGTTCTTTGCTGACACAAGTTCCATTTGTTACAGATGAATTCTAATAAAATGTCAGTGTTATGCAGCCCTGGTCTTCTTTCTTAAGCAGTACTTTTGAAATCAAAACTTGTTTGGTCCCTCTTGGTGATAAAGGAATTTAATTGAAACTACAAAGCAGTCATTAATCTTCTTAACTAGCTGCTGGACAGTGGAAAATGCATTCTTAGGTTAGAAAATATATATCATCTTCAGCAGCAAGCTTTGAGCCAGCATAGGCAAACCCTTTGGCATAATTTCTCATAGTTCCATCAGCTTAATTGAAATGACCACATTTTACTTGCCTCTGGAGTTCCCCTTTGTTCTTTAGAAATGTATCACTACACTGAGAGAATAGATTGTTCTCCATTCATGGGTGCAACTCAAAGAGGGCCAAATATCCACACATTTGAGGTAAATTGTGAATTTTTAATCCCTGCAGATTTAGCAGCTTCTGGGGTAAATCCAAAGTCAGTATTCAGTCCCTGGAATTGTGGCAGGCTGTCATGAGTTTTGACTGATTTCTGTTATGCATCACATATGCAGTGAGTGCAAATGTGAGTCTGTGAGGCTACTATCCAAATACTGTGGTAAAGTTTTTAAACAGGTTGGAAAAGTTTTAGATGAGTAAACACACCAGGTGTATCGAGGCAAGCTACAAAGGGCATGGCATGGCAACCTATTCAAAGAAAACAAGTCTTGCTCTGTCTGCTTGTTTTGAAAGAAGGCAGGTTCTGTCTCCAAGATGACTTTGTAAGAGAATACAGTCTATTAGCAGTTAGTATTAAGTACATGTTAATAAAGAATTCTCTGTGCTGGAAGGATGTGCACATTAGGGTGATTTCGAAGAACGTGTATTGTTCTTGGCCTAATTTCCACTTGAAGATGGTGATAATAGTGTAAATGTGAAGCCTTGGTATTCTTACAGAGGCCTATTAATGTTTTTCCACTGACTTCTGTGGATTTTACAATTACTGCATTGCAGGCTGCCTTTGACTTGAACCTTTTTTGCGTAGTCTGTGCAAGGTGGTTTAGAGCTGTGTTATGTAAGGGTTTCTTTAACTATCTGAGTGGCTTTAGATGGTACCCTTTAATGTCAGCATTGACTTCTTTGGATTTTCCTGTTCTGTGCGTCTAGCATGGACCATAATAAAGTGTGAAAATGAGTATTGACAAAAGTATTTGGCTGTGTATGGCTTAATAACTTCTAAGTTAATGTGGTTTTAACAAAAGTAAGTTCTAATTCATGCTTAACACAGAAAAAAATGCCATGTACTTCGAGATCATTACTGTTCAGAAATGCTGTTGAGATGTGAAATTAACCTATCTCAAAGCAAAGCAATAGCTACAGACCTTCAAACACAATAACATTTACATCTTTTCTATATTATCCAATCACTTGGACCGAATTCCCGAATTCCCAGAATCTTTAGTGTTCATTAGTATCTCCCCAAATGGGTCAGTCCTGATTCTAAGGTAATAAGGGATTTCCATCTATAAATTTACCCATTGCCTGCTTTTCCCAATCTGTGCAGACAAAGTGGGACAAAAGGGAGCTATTGGTAATGGAATAAACAAAGTACTGAAAAAGTAATGATAAGGAATGTATGAAAATAAATCATTCATTGACCAGTGCCCAGTCCATTAACAACTGGATCTGTATCTAGTGATCCCCAGTGATCACTGGTCAAAAAAGGGAAAGGAAAAAAAATCTTTCTAGAAATTGCTGTGTCTTTTTTACTTCAGATGCAAACATGCCCTTCCCCCCCCACCCTTAACCAGTTTTAAGAAGAATGAAGTTAAACTATTTTTCACAGACTTGGGAATTTTGAGGAAAATAACCAACAAATTTGCTGATGTGTAAGCCAACATACCACTGATAAACCACTTCCTCTTCCACAACACTTCATGTGCAAAAAACCATCTGTCTTGCCCATGGAATTGCTGAATTCTATGATATAGCTTTGCATTTTGAAACCTTGAAATATGACAGCTTTAGATCATGAAACTTCAACAGCACTGGATCAAACTGGCAAAATGTCCACGAAGATACCAAATGGTATCAATATTACTTTCACTGTCAAAGAATATCTTTAAAGCAATTTCAGAAGTTTGAAACACTGCTATTTTTGTCATTATTTCACTTTGCATGGGGAAATAAAACACTGATGGGGTGTGAGGTCATAGAAAATTTTCATGAAAAGACCTGTGGCAAAATTTTATTGTATTTTTTAAATTTAATTTTAGTTTACTTTTTTACTACATTTTATTTGTTGATTTTAAATTTTTTCCCTTTTTTCTCAAGGAGGATCTATTAATGCAGTGCTACTGCAACTGTTTGGAAAGCTACTTGATTCAAAACCTAAAGGATTTTAATATCATAGCTATACAAGAGATTATATTATATATATAAACATATATAATAATATGTTATATATAATATTCAAGAGAATTTTCTCTTAATACTGTCCTGTGGTTTCAACAAGTTGGTTCTGTCATCCAAATCTGCTTATGAAGAGTACCGTGGTAATACACAAAATGTTTTTCTACCACTAATGCAATGAGTCAAGATGGAAGGAAACATCTGCTGACTAGCTTTCAGAGGAAAGCAGAATGATAACCTGCAAATGAGACATTGTAGTGAATAGAGATCATTTTGCATCTAGACTATAAATAGGATGCTTTTGAACCCAAAATGCATTCAGCTTGCTTCTGTCAGCAAAAGTCTTAATTATTGTAGCTGGAACAAGCAAACAACCTTTCTTTGCCAATAAAAGTACTTCATTGTATATTCAACTACCTTATTGGATACAGAATGTAAATCTTTAAAGTCAAAACTGCCAGGAAGTGCCTTTCCTTCTCTCATACATAAAAACAGGAGAACAGAATATAGGATTTTCTTCATTGGAAGAAATTATTTGAAAACACTTCAGAGTTTCTATAATTCCAGTCTTCAAAAATCCACTTAGCTCTTAAATCTAAGGGAGTTGTATAAGCTCAGCATTCTACTGCAGCAGGCAATTTACAAACTCACAGCAAGTTCTCATTCATGCAGTAAAAGAAAACAAAACATCATCTATAAGCTCCAGGTAGGATTTTCACATTCACAAGCCTTATCAGCATCATCACTAAATCCAAACCAACCAGCTTGCACTACCACTGCAAGGCATCTAGTTGAGGTATTGTTGTACTTCAAACTAAGCACAGCGAAACCACCAGAAATAGTGACTGATGTTGAGTATGTCACTGAATACAGATGGGGCAAAACAATTATCTTTCATGGGCAACAACAAAACCACGTGCTTCTGTTTCATACGCATACAATTTTTATCTAGTCCACACTTCCAAAGACTATTTTGAGCATTTCACACATTCACACCTCCTGTTTGAATGCCTTTCATTCAATTTTTTTCCATAAAAACTTCCTATTCAATTTTCATCAAATGCTTATTTATACTTTTTATTTGATTGTCTCATTTAAAGTTTAGTCCCTCACAGTTTTAGAGAACTCTTACCCAATTTACAGCACTTTTCAGAAAACTGGAATGACAGATTGAGGCCCAAACCTACATACTTCAGGCTAGAGGGGGAAATACATTCAGCCACATTGTAGAATAAGGCTGCCAAGTAAGTTTTATGTAATAAGTAGGCATCTGAGCAGCATATCAGCATGGTGAAGTAGATCTCTCTCTCTCTTCTTAGATAAAAAAGAGCTAAAATGCACACTTCTATTTAAATCTAATATAGGTATGGAAACAATATTCCAAGTGATATTTGGGGTGGTTTGAGTTTGGTTCATTTTGGTTTGATGGTTGTAGGGTTTTTTTGTAAAAGGCAATATTTATCCAAAATCAGAAGTTGGCATTTTTTCAGAAGTTTTTGTTTGTTTGTTTTGTTTTGTATGGTATTGAGTTTGTTTTCTCCATAGCAACTTTTATGATATTTTGTTTTAGATTTGTGACTGAAGGAGAGTTGATAACACACCAGTGTTTTACTTACAGCAAAGCAGTGTTCAGGGTGTTGAGGTCATTGCTCCACCAGCTATTAGTCTGGGGGTACACAAAAAGTTGGTAGAGAACACAACTGGGACAGCTGACCAAAGAGAAATCCTATACCAAATAATGTTGTGTTTTTCAATAAAAAAGGGAGTACACCAAGAAAAAAGATGGATGTTCTAAGTTAGGTATTTGTCTTCCCAAGTAGCCATTGCATGTGATACTTTGCTTTCCTGGAAAGGGCTAAATATCTGCCTGCTGATGGGAAGGAGTGAATTAACGTCTTTGTTCTCACATGCACCATCTAGTTTGCATGTGAAACTGTCTTTATCTCAACCCATTTTTCATTTTCCCCATCTGATTCTCTCCCCATCCCACTGAGGGGTGAAGTGAACAAATGGCTGGGTGTAGTTTAACTGCTGCCTAGGATTAACCCACAGCATTTGGCTATAGATTTTTATTGGCAGTTGTAACTTCATTGACATTGACCAGAAATTTCAGATGATCTTCTTGGGGACACAATTGCAGAGAAACATTGCAGACTCTGTGCAGAAGCAGCAGAACGAAAACAATGGTCAAGCACAGGGGTTACAAAATGGGAAACAGAATGTTACTGTCTAAAATCAGAAAAGGTGCAAGGGGTAAACACTGCAAAAAAGATATTAATGCTATCTACTTTAACTGAATAAAAGTCAATTTTTGCAAATACTATAGAAAAAGTACAAGTCTACAATAAACCTCACAGGTGAGGACTTTGGCACTTCAGTCATTATTCAGACATTATTCTTACACATGGTACTCAAATGAATGCATCACCAGCACTGGTCTCCCTAGCTAATTGAAGAATTAAGCCAAGGTGGAAAGCCTCTTCACTGAAGTGAAAGAGCTACTCTCCTTCCTGCATGCTGCTTCTTAGATCAAATGTACACCTACATTTAAGATAAGAGAGTGCATTTTAAGCCTTTTTAAAATAATTTTAAAATAATTTTAAAATTAATAATATTTATTTCTTAAATTGATAGAAATAAATCATCTAGAAGAAAAAAAAAATCCTCTCTTCAAGAAAATATTTTCATTTCCTGTCTTGATCTCCTTACTAATAGGATTTTAGCTAAATAATATCAAATTATATACCAAATGCAAGATGTTTGGTAAATATCTGATGTTTGGTAATTACTTAAAGATGTGTGAAAAAGTTTGTGTAGACTTGTTATGTCTGACTCATTTAACACATGTGCTCTTTATAATTAATGGAAAATTAACATCAGGGCTCTGTGCACAGGAAGGATTTTTCATCACTTAAAATTAACAGTACTCAAACTGAAAATTATGGAGATAGAATGGATTTAGAAATAGTGTTAATTTATTCCCTCAAAGTGTTTTGTTACATTACTGTTTCTTGACAATATCTTCTGAGGACCTTATGAGATGGACATGGTCCTTTGCCTGATTACAAAATTGTTCTTTAAACAAGTAAATAACATTTTGTGTGACTGTGTTAATTTCAGAATTGCTAGGAGTAAATTCTGAAAGGATGAAAAGGCTAAATACCTGCTGAAAGTTGTGTTATTTTATATACATACATGGTCTACACAAGATATTGCAGGAAAATAGTTAGATGGGCTTTTGTATTACAGGCTTTTGGGAGTGTTTCATCAAATGGAATGTTAAAAGCTTAGTCACATTACAAGACTTTCAAGTGAATTTGCTCACAGAAGAAATGCAGAGTTAATTACACACTTGTGTTTTTGGTTGTTTTGTTTTGTTTTGTTCTATTCTGTTTTTCTTTCCAAAAGAAGAGAGAGAGATGTATGTAATAAATTCTGTTGATGGCATCCACTCTAGGTAGTTGCTGGTATCACTCTAGTATGATTTATATTTTGACCTTGCTCTCCATTTAATAGCTACAAGATGGAGATTAATATTAATATGCTCTGGCTGTTTTGACAGAAATTTCCTTTGGGCAAAGATTTTACTTGCCAATAAGCACACACCTGCATCCATCACTATAAAATACAAAAAATTATTATTTCATGGGATGCTACAGAATCAAATAACATAAATTTAGAATCAACAAGCTCAGATGAATCCTTGAAAAATGGAGAGGCAATGAAATTTAATGTCAACATAAACTTCACAAAATTCTTCCTTCCCTCCTTCATCAATGTAATAGGATACTGAAACTA